CCCCAAAACCCCAAAACCCCAAAACCCCAAAACCCCGGGAATGAGCAAATACATTGAGATATATTTAATGGCTGTTTTAGGCAAATGTTACTTATTTGAGGGATGATGGAAATAGAAATTTAGAGAAATTCTTGTCATTGTGCTGAAATAAAAGCAACTATATTGAGTGATATAAGTTGAGTCATACTCTCTAGATTGCTCGTTCAACAAGACAAGAGTCTCTTATAGCTATCTGTTATCTAGGTCCTCAGTTGTAAGGTTCGCCCAAGAGTCCATTTGTGCATCTTTTTTCTCCAATTCATTGCATTTATTTTGGAGATAAATAGTATCATAATCCAAAAGAATGCGAGGATAGATGCATCTATCAAGGGATTACGAACGCTTGAAATATTTCCCAATATTAGTGAATAGACCTTCATTTTTGGAATCTCGATCTTCCATGTGATGTCTAGAGTCTTTTCTCGATCTCTTAGAAGACTGATTCTCTTCTTTGTTTGGCTTCGAACTACCACAATGCTCAGACATCCTTGCCCTCTCAATCTTAGCATAGAGCTTTTGAGTACAATAATTTTTCAGCACAGTATAACCGATTGCTTCATCACAATCAGAATCTGGGCAATTTATTGGGTATGAATTTTGATTGACTCACTTTTTAACATACTTTTTGAAGCAAGAAGGGTGAAAGAAGTCGCCTCAAGACAGCTCCACAACTTCAGAATCTCCAATTCAGTAGTTGCATATTTCTCAGATGGATTTTGCTCTGTACTGTTGAACCTTGATTCTTTCCTCAATCTGGATCTGATCTGCTACTTCTTTATCCTTGCGCTCTTGCTCTAGTTTTCTTTGCAATCTTTCAAATGCATCTTGTTGCTCCTTTGCAATTTTTTGTTCTCTGAATGCTTTTTCAATAATCTCGGCTTCACCAGGATCTGAGAGCTCTTGGTTATGCTCGTTGAGAAGCTGGGCCTGAGCATTAGCATCTGGGATATGTCTTATATCATGAATCCCTTTAGGGAGATTGGAAGATTGTGTAATTATCTTTTTGAGAGGGGCAAGTTCTTCAGAGTTACTTCTTTTATGTACATCAAGTTCGTCCTTATTTACCCTATCTTGTTCTTCAAACCGGAGTTGTTCCTTCATTGCTCTGTTTCGAGCGAATTCTTGGTGGTCAAAACCTGCTTGGTTTGGGTCTTCTGCATCTGAAACCGGTTGGTAAGACTCCATAGGGTCATCATTTTGATAGTAATTTGGATTTTCTGGAGGATGGTTTTGCGTTAAAAGTTTTTGAGCAAGCTCTTCTTTTTGGAGCTGAAGTTCAATATGGGCTTCGTGTTCCTCTCCAGTCTTTTTTCTCTTATAGCCTATTTGTTCTCCAGATAAGTTCTGATGCATTTGGCTATCAACTTGAAGAGGGGGAGCTTCTTGGGAGTCAACGGAATTGCGATATGAGATTACATAACCTTCACTATGCTCAAGATTTTCTGCAGGGTGTGGCATTTGCTCCTCTCTTTGCCTGAAGAAAGCTTTCTGTACCTTTTCACTGTGTTCAGGTTCTTCTTCATTGAGATCCTATAAATGCCAATGAGATTTTGTTCGAAGAGAAGTTATAAAATTTTAATATACTCTGAAAAGGGCTGGAATTAGCTCGAAATGCTGAAATTTATAGCCAAAAGTACTAACTTACTTTGTTTGAATTTAGGTTGCCTTGGAAGGTAGAGACCTCGTTAGCCTCTTTCCTTTTGTCATAAAAATTAGAGTCAACAACAGCATTTTGGGGCAATCTTTCAGAAATAGTAGGAAGAACAGAAGGCTCCGAAGGAGTCTGGACTAAGGATTTGGTCATCCCTGTTGAGTTTTCTCCATCGTCAGATATTATTTTAGATTTTTGAGTCTCATATCTTTTGATAAAATCTCTTTTGTATTCCTTGAAGTGAGTTGACTCCAAAAAATCACTGAGGCACTCTTGTTCATATAGTTCTTTGTAGACCTGATTCATTTGATTTTTACCTAGTTTTATGTCGCTTAGAGCTCTTTCTAAAATTGTGGCTAATTGAGTGTATGCATCTCTACCATACTTCTTTCCAAACTTCTGAAAATTGGCACCTAGGAGGAAGGCCATTCCTCTATCAAGATTTCCGTTGAACTTCCCAATCTCTCTAGCTAGCCAGGTAGCATCCTCGGTATCGTCAGCATCAAGATGTTTCTTGTTCATAACTTTGGAGTTATTAATTTTAATTAATTATGAGACTCTCATTGGCCAGCAGTTATATGGGGTTTTGGGGTTTTGGGGTTTTGGGGCTTTGGGG